GTTTAATCTCAACTTCTAACTTCTAATATTCTTGTCGATAAAACAGATCAGGTAAGAGATTTGTTAAAAGAAATTCACATTAATCTTTTCCATTGTGGCATATTTTGAACAATAGAAGAAATTAAGAAAAATTTTATTATTCCAAAGTTATATTTTTTTTAGTGAAAAGTGTAATTGCCCGTTGTCAAAAGTGTCAAAGATTAAAAGGGGAAAGCTTATGGTTTTGAACCATGTTAAGAAACGACAGCGCAGTTGTCGTAATTGCAAAATTATTACACGAAAATGTTCTAATAATCGAACATAATCTAAATTTATATTCGAAATGTATTTTATATTTTAATGTCAAACTTGTTCTAAAAATTCAATTGGCTTTTTGATTTATTTGCCGATATGTATCTCACTAAAATAATAAACTATTAAAATTCATCCTTTTTACCAATCGTTTTGTTTCTTAGTTTTGTATGATCGTTTGGTGAATCAGAAGGTTGGATTCATCACAGAACCACCACCATTGCCTAAGGAAAGAATGCTAATACCAAAAAAGGCATTTTGCAACATCGGAATCGATTTATTCATAACTAGAAAAATAAAAGAAATGAAAATCTTTTCCATGATTTTTGTTTGTGCAAACTCAAGAGCTGTCCATCTTAATGTTGTGCAAAATAAAGGAATAGAATCCATATTTCAATGTTTAACCAGATTCATAAGTTTATATGGCATTCCAGAAAAAATTTGGTCTGATAACGAAAAAAGTTTTTCAACTACTAAGAAAATTCTAACAAAATTGATTTTCGCCAAAGAGAAAGCACAACAGAATTATAACATAAAAATTGGGAATTCAATCCACCAGCAGCACCATGGTACGGAGGTTTTTACTAAAGATTAATCCGTTCAGTAAAAGAAAGTTTATCGGTTGTAGAAGTAAAGAAATATTCTCAAGAAAATTTTAGAACATTATTGGCCGAAATTCAGGGTGTTATAAATGACAGACCATTATTCAGAAGTTCCGATGGAACGTTTATCACAACATATCATCTAATTTTTGGAAATGAACGTTCAACATTATTTTCATCGATCAATATCATCAATTCGGAACATGATAAGTTATCAATATTATACGAAAAATTGGTTGGAAACATTTCTTTTCTTTCATTTAACTTGTAATTCTGTTTCTTTGTCATTTATCATTATGTTAGTTATAGATCCATTTATTATTATTCCACATATTATTCCGTTTTGTTGGTTATCAAATCAAATAAACTTTTCATTTTTATTGAACTCTGTTGAGTATAGTTGTTGCCGAACCTAATCGATGGGAAGTGTTGTCACTACCGTTTGACCACAACAACGACCTCATAGTAGTTGCACTTTTATATAGTACCAAAGAGTATCGATAATGGGGAAGTGGAAGGAAAGAAAACATTTTCATTCTCTCATCAGAGAGTAATGTCAAACCTCTCTCTCTCTCTCTGTGTGTGTGTGTGTGTATCGAATTGAAAATTGGAAATAACAACAACAACAACAACAAAAATTGGTTTTTAAAATTCGTGAGAAATGATCAATCATTTTATCGATCATTATATCATCAAACATGATTATGACGATGATAATAATAATAATAATCATAATTGCATGATATATGAATGAAATGAAATCCAAATTGGCAATCCAAAACACCGATTTGTTGTTGTTGTTGTTGTTGTGGGTTCCAATGTTGAATTTTTTTTACCAAGTTTGTTTCCATTCGTTTTCAGTCATTTATCTATCTCTATCAATCCTTATTACATTTATCTAATTCGTTATTTTATTTTCACAAGAGAAGTGAAATGAAACGAAATCAAACAAAAAAAAAAAAAAAAAAAATTCGTTCAGGTCTGTTGATTGCTGATGATATGACATGGCCTGAAAAAAAAAACATATCAGCAACTATGAGATCCTAGTTGTAATTCACCACATTCATTTATTCATTATGTAATCATTACGTATTTTTCATTTTTCTCATCATAATAATAATGATATATAATGATGTAACAAAGGTGAAACACCACCCAGGTGAAACAAAAAAAAAAATGAAATGAATGAAATGGAAATGAAATTATAATAATTGACAAACTAGAAACATGATGAAACCCTATGATAATACCTGGGTTATTATCATTGAATTTTCTGATCTACGTTGTTTTTTTTTTGCTTTGTTTTGTTTTGATTGATACACTCTCGATCGGCTTGTGCGTGTGGTGTCTTTTTTGGCCATCTGCCATTTTGAAATAAAATGAATGAATAAATAAATATACACAGTAATCATTTTTATGGATCACGACCACGTGTCCACACACTTACTGCAACAACAACAGCAGCAGCAGCAGTACATTTTTGATGCATGTAGTACGTGCGTGTGTGAGAGTGAGTCACTCTTGAATTCAATTGCTGCAGCACCATGAAAAAAAAGTTACTTTATTTTCAGTCCATGCCCGGGCCTGAATTCACTTTTGAACTTCATTTACAAAATTATGGACTCTTTGGTCTGGTCTGGTCTGGTGGTGGTCTATAGTGGTCGGTAGTAAATAAACTTCTCTCTCTCTCTCACTCGGGTAGATGGGAAATGTTTTTCTGGTTTTGGAAATGATGAATTTTTGTTGTTGTTGTTGTTGTTGATCATGTCTGGTTGTCATTGGATACTGATGATGAGAATGTGACAATTATTATGAATAATAATAATAAAAATAGAAACCAGGTTTTTTTTTGACTTGAAAAAAAAAATTTTTATTTCTGGCCTTTCCCAAATGGGAATATCATCATAATGATTATATATGGTGATGACATTGAGAAAACTCTTCTCTTCTTTTTTTTTGCGGAGAATTTTGTCATGTGAAACCAAAAATCAAGTTCAAAGTCAAAACAAAAAAAAAACATGAAAAACAAATGGGGTGGATCTATATGGTGTGCATGGTATAATACCGGAGATCGGTATGTGTTTATATATTTGATAGATGTTTAGTAGTATTTAGTTTAGTCCAGTAAATCAAAAATGTTTGTATGAGTCATCCATATATTGATGACTATAGTAATTCTTGATCACTGGTAAATAAATTCGATTATCACTTACACTCGTTGTCTGTCGCTTATCATTGACATTGACATTTCCAACGACAAAAAAATCCATCAAATCGAATAGAAATTGAATTCGAATTTTGATCAACTTATACGAGATGACATTCAATTCCAAAATATCGAGGCTATAATTATCAGGCTAATATCGATTCCAGGATTCTAGTCTGAAATACAACGAATAACAAACAAAAGTTCTTTATATCGAAATAACACAAATCAAATTATACTACACACATATTTGTTGATGATTCGACGACGATGTTTGTCACGAGAAAAAAAAACACGGTTAATATTGGACTCATCCTTTTATTTCGTGTACTGGTCATTCGATTTATTACCAAATTACTTTCCGTATGTATGTGTGATCCCTAAATGAATTCCCGAATGTCGTTATTTTTTTTTTTACTTTTCTCATCTTACCGACCAAAGCCGGACAAATCCTATTTGTATCAAATTAACGACCATTTGAAAATTGTTAGTCTAACTGTTTTAATGTGTGTGTGTGCGTGTACAAATTTGAACTGAATGATAATGAGAATAATTCGCATATATAAATGTTTAAAGAAGATTCTGCTTATTTAGTCCAAAAAAAATTTCATCTTCTTTGTTAATTGAATATATCCATTGAGAGAGACAGTCGAGTTTTTATTCTGGATTCAAACATCATTTTTTTGTTCAAAAAAACACATGGCCCTTTTTTTCTCCAGAATTTTTCATTTTGTATGTTTGACCTTTTTGTTGTTGTTGTTGTTGTTTCATCACCAAATAGACATACACACAGACATACGGGTGGTTCATTCATACAATTAATTTTTTTTTTTTTTTGTTTCATCCATTGTTGTACAACATTCATTTTCGGTGTTTATTTGTGTGTGTGTGTGTGTGTGTGTGTCATTGGTCCTTTTATTTGCGTTTGTTCCAAACATATACAGTTTGTATTGTTGTTGTCGGTGAATGTACAATGTTTGTGTTTCCAATCGAATAGTTTTCCATAATATAAATATCGATAATAATGATTGGTTGTTGCTGTTGATGAATATGAAGCGCCCGTTTGTGGTGTGTGTGTAAATGGTAGATGTTCATCAATTATATGAGATATAACGTTGAAAATATAGGTTTTTTTACTGGTTAATTTTTTCAGAAAAAAAAGAAACTTTATGGGTCTATAACTACTTGGGAGACAACCTTGTGTGGGTTTTATTTATTTATTATTATAACGACTTTTCATGGGATATGATATATAAAATTTTTATTACAAACAAGTCTCTCTTTTTTTGTTGTTAAAAATTATATTAACAACAGATGGGTTTCAAATAAAGGTGGATATATAGTCAATTTGTTTTGTTTTGGTTCTCGCACTGAACACAATATATATATATATGAATATTGATGAACCTACGGGTTAACTAATTATAATTATCGCGTATATTGGAGAGCAATATCCAACCTGAGTTTTACATATGAAAAAAAATCGGATTTTAAAATTTCTGTCAATATCGACAAATCAGCATTTTTTTCTGGTAAATATAATCTTCATGTTTTTTTCATTTACTTCAAATTAATCCGGATGTTGTTTGTTGTCGTTATCGTCGTTATTGTCTGACGACTTTACTGATTACAATTCATTTCCATAGAATTTAAATCCAAGTTGTTCCCGTTGTTGTTGTTGTTTTTCGCTTTTTGTCCACCAATGTTTGTGATTATTATATTATTGTGATGAATAACCGTTATCGTTGTAGTCGTCATCATCATCATCATCATTATCATTTTGAGTTTTTTCTTCCCTCTTGTTAGCTGATGAATATTTTAACCTACAGGCAACAACAACAACAACAACAACAACGATGACGACGACGACAAAAATAACAGCTGAGACTTTTTATATTTATATTGATGATCACTCATTTGAACAATGTGTGGTCATTATTTATTTCGATTTATATATAAAACCCAGCGATGAGAAGATGAATTTGATTTGGGACCATAAGGTCCCTTAAAAAAAAAATGTTCTATTGTTGTTATTTATTAGTTGAATAGTCGTCTAGTTTCATGTCAAAAAGAGATTGTCTCATTGTAGTGATTGTGTTGAATTGAAAATTCAATAACAACAACAACGACGATAACGACAATGACAACAAAAAATAAGGCCTATTGAGAGTCGAGTGGTCTATAATTTATAAAATAATATGCGATCAAGATAATCCACTCGAACAAGCAACGATATTCCGCGGTATGGCACACTATAGTACTACATAATCATCAACAATGTGTATTTTGATCGAGTTTCGTGTTAATTAAACTTTTCACATTCTCTTGTTCTCAGTGTATGCATGTTTCACACATCATGCAGAAAATTTGATCCACTTATCAAGTTTACACATAATTAATTCAAACTAACTAACGTGGTTCTCACAAAAATATCGTTGAAATTGATTTTGTTGATCGATTTATTGATTGATTGATTTATTTTTTTGTTTACAATTTTTCATTTTTCGTATATAGAATTTTTGGAAACCATCATCATTTTTTTCTTGTCAAATATGGACACATCAATAATGGAATCATTGTCGATTATTTCATTATTAACAATATTGTTAATCATTACCGGTAGCATTGAAGCTAAAGTATCGATTAGACCTGAACCAAATGGTGAAGTAGGAATAATGTCCGGTGAATCTAAATATTTTCAATGTATTGGTTCAAGTAATAAAGAAAAATTGTATTGGATCAATCCACAAGGACAAGAGATTGTAAATGATCCAAATAATGGAATATATACGGTTCATATTGTTAAAAAGAATACGATCAAATTAGAGCTAAAAAATCCAACGAAACAAGATTCTGGTGTTTATAAATGTGTATCACGTAATGAACAAAATCAAGAGATTTCATCAGCATTTTTCAAATTACATGTATTCAATCCGACCGTAGTGAAAGCGCCAAAAGAATCGTATCAAGTTAATGAAGGTGATAATGTACGAATCGATTGTATGGTTACTGCAGATAAAGATGCTACCATTGAATTTATGTGGTCATTTGGCCAATATGATCTTAGCCAAGATCCAAGATATCGAATTGAAATCAATCGTGATCGTTCACCAAATCCGGATGAAATTCGTACCATTAGTCGATTGGAAATACGAAACGTAAGCAAAGAACATGATGGTAATTATGTTTGCGCTGTGGATACTACAAATCGTTTTATTTCGGATTCTAAAGAGCTCAAATTGACTCTTCGTGTTCAATGTAAGTGTTGAAGATAGATAGCTGAAAATGAATGAATTATTTTTTAATAAAATTGAAAAAAAAATTTTCAGATAAACCTCGTTTTGATGAAAAAACACCATCACATATATGGGTTTCAGAAGAAGCTGTTCAACAAGGTGGACCATTATCGGTAAACATATCTTGTATTGTTTATGCTGATCCGGTAGCAACAATTGGTTGGTTTACAGCTGATAATCGTCCTGTTGATCATAATCGTAAGTTATTCGGAATGTCAATAAATTGAATAATAATTCCAATTAATGATTTAAACACACAAACAATACATACAGAACCAAGAGGTGGCGTTAAAACGAAAATCGTCGATTCAATTAACATGTCAACATTGATGTTGACATTTAGAAATATTGATGAAATACGAAATCCACGACCAAATTCACGTATTAAATATAAATGCCGTGCTGAAAACACACAAGGAGCTGATAGTCGTTTGTTTGAGATTAAAATTGGCCGCATACCAGATTCACCGATGGTTGTCGGTCTTGATTATAAAGATGGAGCCATTATATTGGAATTGAATGAAACGAATGTTGAACCACCAATCGATATATATCGTTTAGAGATATCTGATGAACAAGCTCATCTTTTTAATAAATGTAAGTGAACAAAAATGAAAATTACATATCATCCAATTGATTGATTGATAAATCTAATTCGATTAATATAGCGAACGCAAAAGATAACACAACTTATGTGATTGAAACGGCATTACCACGCGGTGAACATAAAGTGAATATTTATGCTCATAATCCGGTCGGTTGGTCGGAACAACCATATTCAAGCTATTTCTTACAAGTAGTCAGTGCCGGTTATCGTCCATCATCAATATTATCATCACAATATTGGCCATGTTATCTATTTATACTAGTCATTAATATTATTAGTCTAATGCAATTACAATCATCTATTCATTTTGATCATCATCATCATCATCATCAAACAGCTGTTAGCAAATGATTTTTAGTCATCCAGTAAATCAAATTGAATCAAAGACCTCTTCATATATATTCATAATAATAATAATAATAATCATCGTCATCATCACTAATTTTTAATTATTATTATTCGATTGTTAGTTGTTTGAACCACTCATCCCTTTTTCAATAATGATATCCAAAAAAAAAAAAAAAAAAAAAAAAAAAAAACAAAACTTTCCATAAAAATCTGTGTGCGTTTGGTGTGTTTATGAAATTTCCAAGAATTCTAGAAAATCATCATCATCATCATCATCATCGCAATTCGCTTCCTGAAAAGACTGAATTCCATTCCATTCTTTATTGTCAATAAACGACAACGATTATATGAGGCTGCCATTCAATATTATATTCTATGATGACAATATATCTCAAACACTACCACAAATATTTATCGACACTTTTTTTTCGTTATCGTAATTCTTTTCTCTTTTTTTTTGTCGTTGCTATCTTCATCAATATACCATCATTTATTCATTTTTTTTGGTCTTTTCTGGCAAAACGCGCATCTTATATTTCATCATCATCATCATCATCAACGATTCTACAAGTTATAATTCAATTCAATTATATATAAGAATGCAGCTAAATCACCAAAAAAAAAAAAAAAAAAAAAAACATGAAAACCATGAAAATCGTATCACTAATATAGTATTGGGAATCATCAAAAACAAAACAAAACAGAAAAAAAAATTAGTGGATCTTTATTCATTCAAAATTGTTGTACATTTTTTTTTTTGGTTCATATTCAATCATTCATTCATCAAATATTCGATATCTATAGTCGTTTTGTTTGATTCCAATTTCCAGACACACATTTATCCACAAAAAATATTCGAAAAAAAAAAAATTATCATCGCTATTCATCTGGTCACAGACGCTACAATGACTACATTTTTGATTTTTATTTTTGCAATTTCTCCCTGAAAAAAAACGACAACAAAAACACAGATAAACTGAAAATATTTTATCAACATGAACCGAACGTAAGAATTTCTTTGTTCAATTTATCAATCATCCATTTTTTTTCTTCTTTTTCCATTTTTCTCCATTGTTCACACACACACACAATGTTTTTTTTTTGTTTATTTCATTTCATTTCATTTTTTTTTGCTGCTGAAATTTCAATTCCCTTTTTTCCCTGGTCATTTCTTCTTATAAATAAATGAATGATATATATTGTTCCACATACACACACACACACACACACAAACATAAACAAACACCTGCTTATTATAATGAAATTCCGTTCATATCCGAAATAAAAAAAATTGGTCACTCGCTTTTGAGGTTTTTTTTGAATGGATTGATGATTGGAATCAATGTAAGAATTATAAACAATGATGATGATTACCATAATCAGTATGACACACACACACACACAAACATAAATAAAAATACACAAGTTGTAAATTCTATTTTTTTTTCTCACCATTCATATTTTATTTGGAAAAAAATGAAAATAAAAATAATCTCTATATAAATATAGTATATAAAGAATTTGATGACTATTTGATTTGTTGTATTATGATGATGATGATGATGATGTTGTTGTTGTTGGCATTGGCATTGTACGTATTAATCGTGCACGTTTACTGTAAAAATTTCTTGCCATATAATTTTGACGATCATTTTCAATTATAGCCGCCTGTTTTAATGAATCATAAAGTCTTTGACGATCATTTATGAATTGCCATAATACGATTGAACGTTTTATTAATTTGCTAGCCGGTTCTAGTAGTATGGATCTATGATGATTATTATCCGATTGATTATCATCATTATCGATTATAATTAATCGTTTCATTATTGAACGATATTCATAAGACGACGATGATCGTTGCTGTCGATGGATTCGATATAAAATTGATGCATAAACAAAAAATGATTCAGCCATATCACGTAAGGTTGATTGTGATAGAATACGATGCATTAATGATTCCATTATTTCAGCTGCATCATGATGTTGTCCATATTGTTCGGATTGAATACGAGCAATCTGTATTGATGATCGACATTCAAGTTGTTTAAATCCATGTGCTAATGATTGTGCAACACATTCAAATAGTATGGATAAATCCTGCAAGATTACACCACGAATCAGATGACATTCGATTGTTGTATACGGATCCAATTCAGGAACTAATTTTCGTTCATTTTCTGGTTCTAATTCTTCTGGTGGTGCTGGCTGTATTCGTTCATAATATTTAAGATTGTCTGAATAAAATGAACGTAATGGAATCGGTTTTGAATGATTACAATCAATTGATTGTTCCGGTGATGATGGTGTTTGATTAACTTGTTTTTTGTTGGATGTTTTCAGAATTACATGATCTTCTTGTTGATTGTCAATCGTATGATTCGATGCAGAAGATTGGAAAAGATTTTGACGAAGATATGTTGATCCAGATAATTTGGATGTTTGTGATTCAGTAGCAGTTGACATTTGTGTTTGCTTAAATGATCCACCACCTGAAACATATGGAATGATCATATCAAGACATTCTAAAGCTGTTATTGGTTCATTTTGTTTATGACGAAGTTGAACTAACATTAGATATGATCGTGTTCGATCTAGACAACGAATTGCATTCAAACATTTGGTTGCAGCATTCCAATGGCCACTATTGACATGATAGTCGAACATTATCTCAATCAAAGCTCGTTCCATTATATGTTTGGCACTTTGATTGTATGATGAAAAATGTCCGAGGAAACGATTAATCAAATTGATAGCCTGATGTAAATCACCACGAACAAACCATAAATAATGAGCCATATTTCTCACCGCTATTGGAGTGGATTCATCCAGACGAAATATACGTTCTTCCATGATCGTTTCGATTACATCCATTCGAAGCCATAGCTTAGCGTATGTTGAAGCTAAATGTGTAGCACCATATGCATTTAATATTGCTGATGTCATACTGAATTGTTCACCTAATACATCGAAAAGTCGATATTTGATAGCCAAATAAATTGGTTGTGGCAAAAATGGTGACCGTTGGTTTGAACAATTCATGGGACCATCAAGAACATCAGACAATGATAATTGTTCAGAAAGTAATGGATCAGATTTCAAATACTGTAATCGTTGAAAATGTAGAAATGTTTTAGCCGAAATATATGGTAATGTTAATGGATTAGTAAGAATCAAGCGGATAATATTTTCCATCAGTTCTAAATCTGCATAAACTTTATGTCGTTTCTTTAACTGTTGATTACGATTAATTTCCGAATCTTCTGAACACAAATTCAAATGTTCAGCAGTGATCGTTGTTTTTGAATGATCTAAATGTTGTGAAATTTGTAAAATCCATAACATTGCATATTGTAGACAACGTTCATCACATTTTTCACGTGCCAATGAAAGACAATCGACCAAAGCATCGTATGCAAGACGATAATATTTAAAATGATAATACATCATAGCCAGATTCAATGATGACCAACAATAATTTGAACTGCTAAACATTAGATTACGACCTGAACCAGAATCATTTGAAATTGTCGTATCAGTGCCATGTCCACCACCACGTTGATTACGAAAACCATGAAAATGATGCGGATGGTGATGATGATGATGATGTAGATGGCCACCAACATTAGCAACGGTTGGATGTCCATCAATTGTACGTGGAACATTTGCACCATTATGATTGGGATGTGTACCACCGCCGTTTCCAATACCACCATTTCTCATCAATATGTTTGTAGAATGTGTCAAAGAATTGGGTATATATTCAGGATCTAGTTCAAAACTTGGTTTTTTCAAATCAAAATAATCAAAAAATGCTTTTCGCGCCATTGTAAAATTATTCACACGTAAAGCATTGATAAATTTCAGATATTCAATATCATTGAAAAAATTCATTGAACGAAATAATGATCGATATTTTTTATTCAATGAATCCACTGTAATCGGTGCGGAAGTACTTGCTATTGGTGGAACATATAGGCCAGATCCAGTTCCACCACCACCACCACCAGCTGTGGTAACCATAATTCCACCGGCAGCATGATAAGCGGCATGATTTGTACCGTTAATATTATTTGCACGATTATCCAAAGCCGGTACAATCGGTATCGTAGTGCCATTCGAAAGTAATGTAGCATCTTGACCTTGTCCATCGAAACCATTACCACGAATCAGATACAAATTGGCCAAATAATTATAAGTAATGAAACGATTATAATAGAACATATTATCTTCAGTGAATTTTTCCCGTAAATATTCCATTACCTGTTGAGGTGTTAAAGCTAGCTTTTCATTGTATTGAATCTTATAGATTTGTTTCACAATATAATGTTCAAATGTATCATAGATGTTATGTTTAGATTTTTTAGAGAATTTTTTGATTTTTTTATCATCTTCATAGCCGCCAACCGTTGTGTTTGAAATGGAATTTATGTTCGATTTTTGACCACTTGAATCGAATACTGTACGATCGATTGACATGTCATTATCATCATTGAGCGTAATATCAAGATCCATCGGTATCGAATGTTGACTAGCAACAGGACGTATATTAAATGATGATGATGGTGTCATCGAATTATCGATATCCATTGAGATATCGATCGATTCGGATACAACAGAATTTCCATCACTTAATTTTCGTTTGCTTGATGTGCTATTTTTATGTGTTTTTTGCCAATTTTGTTGTTCATTATCATTAGTTTTGAGATCTGATTGTTGTAATCGAACTTTGGCAATCAATTTCAATAAATGTTTGACAAATGTTTCACTGTGTTCGGATTTATTCTCCTTCAGTTTTGATTCAATCTGAATTAAATGATCGAAATGTTCGTTGCTTCTTTGATCTGTATTCAATTTTTTCGATTGTTCAAGATTTTGATCAATTTCACTTTCATCGGCATTACCGGCATCATCGATAATGAGATATTTTTGTAATTGATCGAACAAAGTGGAAGTTTCACAATACGATAATCGTTCATAGTAGATCATTAATTTACGCAAAAATATACCAATCAAAGACATTTTATGAATCTGATGATGAGAAAAACCTGACGAATGATCAGGATCACACAATTCAGCTAAAAGTTTGATACGATTTTTGAAGAATTTTTTTTGTGCCATTGAACGAACTTTATCGAAAAAATCATGAAAATATTTGATATCCAATCGACGTAAACGGTTCAATTCTTTATGAAATATTTGTAAAACTTCGGATGAAATTTTTGATCGATGTTCACCATTTTCAATACGAAATAATAATTCATCATATGGACAATCTATTGACATTATAAGTTTATATGCTAAATATCCATGAGCATTGACATCTAATGATGATGATGAAATAGTATCTAACATTTCATGTAATTGACGATATTCAAGATATGAACAGATGAAATTTGCCACACAAATTTTATATGGTGATAATGTATATGATTCATTCAGGATAAATTGGCTAAAATCCATAGTGGATGTGTTTGAATTTTTGATTTTCCTATAATAAAAAAAATATCAATGAAATTTTTGATTAAAAAAAAAAATATTACCGCCAAATACCTCTGTGATAACGGTCAAACAAAAAAAAAAAGTTTTCGAATTTTCAAATTAAACACGCTGACAACGAGCTCACAGCCGAAAATTCCAGACTATTATCTATGAACGGATCATTATTTTTTCTCCAAAAAAAAAAAAAAAAAAATTTTTTGGATTCAATTCTTCTCGGAATTTTTTTTGTTTCATTTCGACGCCAATTTGGTTTGATCTGTCCATCACAATGGTAATTATTATTGTTTTTTTTTCGTATTTGAAAATTAATTTATCAAAAAAATTTATAGAATTCGCAACGAAATAAAGTTTTCGATGAATTAAAAAGTAAACATTTAAAACAAACGATTGGTGTCTCGAGCAATGCATTACCAACCACTTCATCATCACAATCATCATCATCATCATCATCGCCATCACCATTCATTTTATCTAGTGGTCCAGTAACTGGATCCAGTATTCCGGTACCAATTCTTCCAAATCAAATTACACCACCATCAATTGGTGGTCCAGCTTTTTCCACACTCGAAGCAATGACACCATCACAGAAAGCTGTTACACAAGCACATCAAACATCATTCGGATTCTACATTCCTCAGGATTCTACTTATAATCCAATTTTACCCGTTTTACCACGCTATAATTAAATTAATTCAATTTGAATCATCCAATTTTTCGAGAAATAAATTTTCATTATTATTCAACAATAGAAAAAATGATAAAATTCAATTTAACAACAACTTTATAATTTGGCTATCGGTTTCGATTGTTCATCGAAATCATTTGAAGGATATGTAATTGGTGGTACATGTCCACAGCCTGGTTCAATAGTACAAATTGTCCGACATTTAATGCCCATCAATTCCATTCGATTTTTAGATTTTGCTTCACGATTTGCATCATGAATACTACCATCGATTTCAGGCACTTGTTTACCATTGCTTACTAGAGCAGGTACGACCGGATATTGTTCATCACCCGGTAATAAAGAAAGAGCACCATCATTATATGTAAAGAAAACTGGAAGCCAACGTTGACAACCCAATGTTTGTCTTGATCTCATAAAACGATATAATTGGTCCATCATTGGAAATCGTAATAATCTTGATAATTCATACACTTGTGGTGGTGCTAAAAATGCCTGTTCCAGCCGATGTTCTTCGAGTATTTCGATTGGATTACACCACTGTTAAATAAATGGTCAGAATCTTCATTCATTATAATAAACAATACGATATACATACAATTGGTGTAGTAACTTCGGCATTATCAACAAAAACTGGTGGTTTCTGTTCAAAACAACAAACATAGAATATTGTATCGAAACGTCGATGTCCAACACTGATTGGTGTTAGCCAATTTGACCATTCATATAGAGCCCATACATTCGGTACCATATGTAATGTATCACATAATTTAATAAATTGTCCGGCATCTGATCGAACTTTTTTCTGCCATTCATTCAAGTCCAAATCGAGTGATTTTGATGTCAAAACTTTACAATAATCATTATTTTGTGCATTTTTTGGATCAATGAGTAAAAGTATTCCTGTGTCATGATGATCAACATTAGTAACAAGAAAAATAATTCAGTAAAAAACTACTTACCAGCTTCTTCAAACGTTTCACGAATTGCCGAAATTCGAAGACCAAGATCCATGTTTATAATTTTAAGATCTGAAGATTTTCCCTTCAATGTAATAGGATCGGTAACCATCGGTGGTCTTGGTCCAACAATATTGTTCGATATACTATGTAATTCATCCATTTTGACGCCGAATTTTTCGAATAATTCATACCATTTTTGTTCGAAATCTACCAATTCAACTTGACCACCAGGAAAGACATATGCTGATGCAAAAAATGAAGATGTTACTGATCGTTTAACCATTAATGATTTATAATCAAATTTCATGGACAGATGTTGTTCATTTTTTTGCTTATTATCCGGAGCTAATATGATTAATGAAGCAGCTTCTTTCCATGATTGTTTTGGAGGTATTTCAGACATATCTGGTTGTCGTTCCAAAGCCGTTGGATATGGTGCCATTGGTTGAAATTTTTGATGATCGAATATTGTTCGTACGAAAATACGTGATGATGATAATGGCAAATTTAGTTGATTATCTAATGGTAGGCCAAAAAAAAAACAACGACAATGATATGAATAATCAAGAAAAAAAGAATTGAACTCACAAAATTGTTAAATTTATTAGTTAACAAGTATCATCATCATCATCATCATCATCAACAACAACAACAAAACAACCGAAACAAACACATAAATACTTGTGACCTGAATATATGAGAAAAAAAACTTGAAAAAGCCCCTTAAACTCAACTCATTTCAAAACTCTCAATTTTTTGTTGTTGTTGTGGCTCGGTAAGACAAGTCAACAAAACAATTGTCTGACAAAAATTCAAGTTTTTTTTTGTCGTACCATTATTTAGCTGTTTTACATACAAATCACACGCATATCCACCATATATTATTAGTTAGAGTACAATACAAACACTTGTAACCTGTTTTTGAAATTAATTTTTTTTTATTATTCCAACTATTGACGATTGATAATTGTCGTATCGTTGATCGTTGAATCATCATTGTTAATGATTTTGCCACCATTCGGTGATTGAACATGATGATGAAGTTGAAAAATAAATCCAAATGGAATTATTCAAATTATTTTTGATTCGATTCAATTTTGTCGATCTTGTGCACCAACAACAACAACAACAACAAAATCAATCAACAAATTATTGTGCCATCTTTTGACATTCAAATCAAATATGATTATATATTGATATGAATTCAATTTTCATGCGAAAAAAAATCCTGAAAACTTACCTCACGATGATAATATATTATGTTGAAACAAAAAAATTCCAGAATCTGATGAAAATAAAAAGTTTTCCAAAAAAAAAAAAAATAACTGAATCGTAGTTTGATTAATTTTTTTCCAAATGATGATCGTCGAGTATAAAATGGTATTGTCCGTTCAATTGATAATGAGTCATCTCGTAAATTGCTTTCCGGTGTTACATATATGGATGATTTACTTATCGGTTCTAACAATATCGAAGATTTACGTCAATGTGTGTCCGACGCTAAACGTGCTTTCTCGTTATCTGGCTTCGAGATGCATAAAATTTGTTCAAATATTTCAGTACCGGATGGCACATCTGTTAATAGCGCTGGTTTGTTGGGCCTCTTGTGGAATATTCCTGACGACACTATTAGTTTGAAACATCGTGATTTATCGTCTTCTTTGTTAACAAAACGTAATATGTTGTCGATAATTGGCCGAATATTTGATCCATTAGGAATCATTGATCCTTTGAAACTTCAGTTACGACTATTGTTTTCTCGTATCGTCACAAATGATTGGGATTCTACGATTGATGATGATTGCGCTCGAGAATGGAATGCCGCAATCGCTGATTGGTCAAAATTGGAAGAAATTAGTTTCGATCGTTATATTTCAGAAACGTCTTGTTTATACTGTTTTGCTGATGCTAGTGAAACTGGTCTTGGTTTTTGTATCTATTTGGGAAATCATTTGCTGTTTGGGAAGAGCAAAGTGGCTCCGAAGTCTAAGACAATTGTCGAAAAAGAATTATTGGCTTTATGTGGTTTGGCAAAGATGGTTTCTCGAGTACGGAAATTATTGGATGATTCACAAATTCGTCCTATTGTACGCATCTTTTCAGATTCAAGAATTAATTTAGATCGTTTGAATTCTTCGCCAAATCGTTTTAAATTTCATATTGGAAAGAAGCTTTTGCGTATCCTACAAATGGTATCGGAGTGTCAAGCATCCGTTTTTTATATTCCTGGAAATTTGAATCCAGCAGATCTATTTAGTCGACCTATTTCAATCGGTGACTATATCAAACGAAAACCTTGGTTTCTACAATCGTCAGATTTATCGGAAGTACCATGTCCAGTAGTAACCGTTTGCTCCATCAAAAAAGAAGATATGGATTTAGATTTTAAGAATTTTCTGAATCACCTTCCGTCTGTTGAAAAAATGATCCGATGGATTGATAGATTACGTCGATGGCTTCCGAAGCACCGTCAAGAAAAAATGATTGATTCTCGCTTCCTGTTATTTCGTTGTTTTCAAATGGGAGAACGTTTGAAAAGTTCTCATGATCATTTCATAGATGATCGTGGCTTGATTGTTTACCGCATGAGGGACGGGATTAATTCGGTTTGGATCCCGCCGCGCTCAGCTCTGGCTCATGCTTTATTGTTGGTCGCACATCGTATGGCTAAGCATAATGGCGTTAAGCTTTCGCTAGCACAAATACCTCCAGAAATCATTATTGGTGACGCTAATCGATCTATGAATCGTTTGATTTATCGGTGTCTAATTTGTAGAAGTCGTCGTGGAAAAGCAATTACTGTTCCGTTTGGGCCATCATATCATGAGATAGACGTTTTTAGCGGGCCATTCAGTCGAATTGCTATTGATGGTTTCGGACCATTTGAATTAAAAAATGGCAAGAAATATTGGGGTTTGGTTGTTGTTTGTTTGTCTACGAGATGTTTACGTATTGGCGTTCTCGAAAATCTCACTCCTTTAGCTGCTGCTCGTGCATTAAATTCTGTCTTCCATGAAGTGGGATATCCTAAATTCATCCTGTCAGATAACGGCACAAATTTTAAGCCTATCAAGGCAGCTCTAGAAAAATCTGGTATGTCTGTTGTTTGGTGGACGACTACGCCGTTGGCTCCTTGGCAGAATGGTTCTGCCGAACGTTTTGTCAAAATTGTAAAATCGTGTTTGTCCATGTATGACAAAAAGTGTCGATCATTATATGTTGCGATTCTACGCTTTAGAGAAGTGGAATCTATTGTTAACGCAAGACCAATTTTGGCTGGTGAACGTCCGATTTCAGCTCATGAATTCTGCTTCCATCGCCCACTTCATCTTATTCCTGAGAATGTTTCAGATATTAAGCCTGTCAATTTGGATCGTTTATATCGTTTCAACGTTGATCTTAAAAAACGTTTCACAAAATTATTAAGACTCCGATATTACAATCTATATCGTTTCCGGCCTAAAACGCAGCCTTCGTCTATCAAAGTTGGTGATTTTGTTTTGGTACCTGAACAAACTAAACGAGAAATTTGGCCTACAGGGCAAATACAAGAATTGGCGATAGGTCGTGATGGTTATATCCGTTCTGCTCGCATAAATTTTCAAGGGTCATCATTATGGCGCCCAATTTCAGGTTTAATACCAATTTCGCGGGCGGAAGATTGTGGTGTTTCGTCGTTTCAATAGAACAATTTAATTCGATTTGAAAGTCACCCACAAAAAATTCGATGCACATTGAATTTCTTTTCTTTCTTTTTTTTCATGTAACCACTTTTAAAAACAGTATATAAATCTAAAACATATCCAATGAAAAAATGTGATCTTTTTATTCGTTTTCTTGTTCTCATACGATTAATACTATCAAAAATAAAAACCTAGTTTGAAATAAATATTCGTTTTTCTGTTCTTTCGTTATTCGTATTTCTACAGGCAACTTTCTTTTTTCTGAGCCTTTTTTTGATTTTTGGAAATATTATATTGTGTTAACATGGTAACGTCTTCGATGATGAACCCCAGATCAATTTGAACAATTTCATTTCATTTCAATTTTTTTATTTTGTAAAATTTGTATTAATAAATTAAAATAAAAAATAAATAAATAAATAAAGATTGGACTATCAAAATTAAATAAGTTTCATTCGATGCTGAACTTAAGATTGATTATCGTTAAAAATAAATTAGCCTGATGTTTTCATCATTTCATTCTGTAGGACAATGTTACAAATGCCTACGTTTTGGCCATAAATCTGGAAATTGCAGAAATGCTCTTGTCTTTTCAAAATTCCATGGTAATCATGAATCAAAAACATGTACTTCATTTAGTCAAATGTCTAGTTGCTGAATTGTTTGTGGTTGAACCAACATAGGAAAAATAAGTCTGGTGCCGAAATAAATATCAATCATTCAGTCTTTAGTTTACCATAACCACATTGATTATGGATATTGAGCAAAGGTAAATTAAAATTCTGAAATTTGAAGTCTACGGTGACATTCATTGTGAATTCTAAATATCTTGAATCATCTTTATTCTGAATACAAGAACCAGATATCATCAATTTCCTGCTAAAATGGATTTTGGTTATAATTTTGTCATCGCAACACCATTCCTAAATGTGCCATTGTTAACTATTTCTAGAACCTTGGTTTTATCTCAATGATTTTTCAATTTTAGTGATTTATTATGTTTTGGTTTTCCTTTATCGCTATATAATATGGAATAGAAGTTTCTTTTTATTAATAAAATTTCATTTCAATTGGAATTCTTTAATACTTATCATTGATGGTAAATCAACTTCAACGACTGTTTCTCAGAATATGTCCCTTTTCAGTTTATGGATTAAATCAAGCCAAATCTTATGCGATAAACAATTGTCAATCATTGCAATCGTGAGTATGTTGTCATCTATAAAAGTGAGTTTATCATCATTATAATTATTCCTGTCAACAAGAAACATTCTAGTTCTTCTTCTCTCTTTTTAAAGGTGCCAGCTATTTTTCAACAAACACTTTCATATCATGAATCTTTTTAAAAAGATTCCCTCAATCAAGTCAACCCTGCTGAACTGCTGAATATCCATCACCATTGTGCATTTGTGGCCAAAATCCAAACTTCAATTCATTTAATCGTCGATTTTCCGCTTGCCAGAATTTTATTTTGACTTTTTTTCTGAAAATAATGATTGATTTACATTTCCAGAGATCAACATATTAAATTCATTAGAAATTTACAGAAATATAATTTCTTCAATTAATTTCTTTTAAAAATGATAGAAAAGTGCGTGATACTTCGCATCATATTATTTTTTAATAAATAAATAAATATTTTTTATTTTTACCCAACATAATTTTACTCAACTGATAAATTGGATTGATTTCGTTTAAGAACATTTTCTGGTCACTCCATTGAAAAATTGATATGGATACTCAGTAAAAATCTATTCATGCCAATATCGGATTTGTGATGAACGTTTTTGATTTTCCTATAATAAAAATATCAATGAAATTTTTTGATTAAAAAAAAAAAATACCGCCAAACCACCTCTATGATAACGGTCAAACAAAAAAAAGTTTTCGAATTTTCAAATTAAACACGCTGACAACAATGAGCTCACAGCCGAAAATTCCAGACTAACCTTATCTATGAACGGATCATTATTTTTCTCCAAAAAAAAAAAAAAAAAAAAAAAAATTTTGGATTCAATTCTTCTCGGAATTTTTGTTTCACAAAAAGGTAACGCGGGACGATGTGACTTCCAAATTTGAAGATTTACGCAATACTCTGAATTTGAAGACTTCTCTCCAAATTTGGAGACCAGTCTCCATCAAAATTTTGAGTGAACGATTTAACGATTTGACTATCGATAGTATCGTCCATCACGATTGTTGCAGCAATTTGTCCCCCTTCTATTCTTTTTATCCCCCATATTAATTTAATCGATATATTGAAATTCAAATGATAAATGATTTTATTGTTATATTAATTGATTAAAATATTTGAAATAATAAAATGCATTCATATTTCACACCCCAATTACGCCATTCAACGTTAATTGCCTCGTTTGAAATAAATCCGTAATTCGCGGTCCAAGTTCCAAGTCAATGACCAAATTCAATCCATGATTCGAGATTCAATTTCCAAATTGTTCACCGGTGATCCTAAACGAAAATAAATATTAGTTGTTTTTTCAATTAATCCATTCATTTGCTTACCATTATCAGTTTCGAGTGTATGTTCCAGTTCGTGAATCTTCGACTATTAATCGTAATTGTCAATCGCTTCATTGATTCCAAAGTTTCAATCAGCATCGAATTCAATAGGAAATAGCTCAGATCATGTTCCTAAGCCTAATCTAACCCTAGCCTAACCTATTATCAAGTGTTGAACATTGCCAAACTATTCTTGAATTGGATGCTGATGAACAATGGAAACGCCGAATTGATCTTGAACATAATCATAAGTCGAATTTCAACTTGTTGATCGTAAAATTTTAGCGAATCTAATAAGAAAAAATAGACGAATCTTTATCAGATATGAAAAATGAATATGTCGACTTACTAAATAAGTTGTTCCGACAATTCAACCAAAAGCAGGCATGTTCTGAATAGACTTTTGAGAAATGTAAGTGTTAGAATTATTGATTGGTAGCGAAATTCCAAAGTTACCTGATGCTGAACATGTTTCATTGGACATCGTACCATGTTAGTGACCAGATATCCGCCAATAAATTTGTACTGTTCGGCATCATTACCATGATCGTTTTTCTAAAGACGACACCAATTATATGTCTAATGATCATTGATCATCAATGAAAATTTTATGCTTCAAAAGACAAGGAAAATTGTTAGCATTTTCAATCTAAGGCAAAATGTAAATTACCTTATTGACCATGTTTTTATATATTAATCCGAATTCCAATTATCAAGTATAATGGACTCTGAAAAAGAAAACTTAAAAAGGATGTGATTGAATACAATTTGATGAAAAACAAAATGTGATAAATACATTTGAAAGTCATCGAAAATGGAATTTTTTCGCCAACTTGTATCATTATTACATGATGACCGAACTAAACGATCTTCATTGATTTTGAGGCCAATTTTCTAGACCACAATAACTTTGAACAACGATAATCTTGAATTGATTAAATTCTTTGTTCCAAAATTTAGTGCAAAAATTTTCACGATTAAAATAGAAAAAAATGCAAGTCATCAAAAAAATAATTCAAATTCGTATGGGGAATAGAAGGGCACAACATTTGTATTGAAAATAGTTAGCTGCACTATCTCTATATGACTATGCGCAGTTGCTCATTAGTTGGACTTGTAGAAATTTTAAAGTTTTTAAAGTTTTCAACTAACAATCGAAAAACAATCGAAATTTTTTTAGCACTCATTTTTGGAGACTGGTCTCCAAATTTGCTGTCTGTTTCTCCAAATTTGAAGACTAGTCTCCATTTTTGTAGAGTAGTCGGCAATATTGGAGACCAGTCTCCAAATTTGGAGAAACAGTCAGCAAATTTGGAGACCAGTCTCCACACTTTCTTTTCTAAATATGTTTCATTTCGGCGCCGATTTGGTTTGATCTGTCCATCACAATAGTAATTATTATTGTTTTCGTATTTGAAAAATTGGTCAATTTATCAAAAAATTTATAGAATTCGCAACGAAATAAAGTTTTCGATGAATTAAAAAGTAAACATTTAAAACAAACGATTGGTGTCTCGAGCAATGCATTACCAACCACTTCATCATCACAATCATCATCATCATCATCATCGCCATCACCATTCATTTTATCGAGTGGTCCAGTAACTGGATCCAGTATTCAGTACCAATTCTTCCAAATCAAATTACACCACCATCAATTTGAGTGGTCCAGCTTTTCCACACTCGACAATGACACCATCACTGAAAGCTGTTACACAAGCACATCAAACATCATTCGGATTCTACATTCCTACCAGGATTCTACTTATAATCCAATTTTACCCGTTTTACCACGCCACGCTATAATTAAATTAATTCAATTTGAATCATCCAATTTTCGAGAAATAAATTTTCATTATTATTCAACAATAGAAAAAATGATAAAATTAAATTTAACAACACCTTTATAATTTGAAATATCGGTTTCGATTGTTCATCGAAATCATTTGAAAGGATAATAATAATTGGTGGTACATGTCACAGCCTGGTTCAATAGTACAAATTGTCCGACATTTAATGCCCATCAATTCCATTCGATTTTTTAGATTTTGCTTCATGAGAGCTCTGCATCATGAACACTACTACCATCGATTGCAGGCACTTGTTTACCATTGCTTATTAAAGCAGGTACGACCGGATATTGTTCATCACCCGGCAATAAAAGAAAGAGCACCATCATTATATGTAAAGAAAACTGGAAGCCAACGCTGACAACCCAATGTTTGTCTTGATCTCATAAAACGATATAATTCGGTCCATCATTGGAAATCGTAATAATCTTGATAATTCATACACTTGTGGGTGGTGCTAAAAATGCCTGTTCCAGCCGATGTTCTTCTGAAGTATTTCGATTGGATTACACCACTGTTAAATAAATGGTCAGAATCTTCATTCATTATAATAAACAATACGATATACATACAATTGGTGTAGTAATTTTAATACAAACACTTGTAACCTGTTTTTGAAATTAATTTTTTTTTATTATTCCAACTATTGACGATTGATAATTGTCGTATCGTTGATCGTTGAATCATCATTGTTAATGATTTTGCCACCATTCGGTGATTGAACATGATGATGAAGTTGAAAAATAAATCCAAATGGAATTATTCAAATTATTTTTGATTCGATTCAATTTTGTCGATCTTGTGCACCAACAACAACAACAACAAAATCAATCAACAAATTATTGTGCCATCTTTTGACATTCAAATCAAATATGATTATATATTGATATGAATTCAATTTTCATGCGAAAAAAAAAATCCTGAAAACTTACCTCACAATGATCATATATTATGTTGAAACGAAAAAATTCCAGAATCTGATTGAATAAAAATTTGATGAAAGTTTCCAAAAAAAAATAACTGAATCGCAGTTTGATTAATTTTTTTCCAAATGATGATCATCGAGTATAAAAATGGTATTTCCCCATTTCTACCATTCAGTTGGTTTGCAATCATTCGAAAAAAAACTTGTTTTTTTTCACTGATCAATGTCATTTATTGCGTTGTTGTTGTTGTTTTCATAAAATGATGACCAGTCATTATCAGGATTAATCAATAATCAATTTAAAAATTTTTTTTTTTTTTTTTTTTACCATTCAATGTTGATGTTAATCAAATGAAAAAAAGAAAGAAAGAGACAAAATCATTCAATATTGATAATTGGCAAATAAAAATGCAAGACCAATAACAATTTGTACGTAGAAGAAGAAGAAGAAGAAAAAAAATTCTGTTCATATAATAATAATGATAATATTCGAGATTCGAACAAACACAGAGAAAGAGTGGTAAACACAAACACACGTACACAGGTAACAAAACAAAATGGACAGAGAGAAAGAGAGAAAAAAAACATACCAAATAAAAATACTACTATCATTCGAATTTGATGATGCAAAAAAAAAATCAATTAATTAATCAATTGGCTATGTACATGAACTGTGGGTAAAGACAGAACGAATGAGAAAAAAAATCATCAAATTAGAATTTGATCGAACAAAAAAAAAAAAAAACAATCAATTTTTCAATCATCATGAATTTCTAAATATTCGTGTATTACGATTATTGTGATTCTGGTTCTGATTCTGATTCTGGTTGCTATTATTCTTATTGTTATTGTTGTTGTTGTTATTATTATTATTATGAGCATCACCATATTTAGCCATTGAATTGAAAAAACCTTTTTTCAATAAATTACTTAAATTTTTCTGTGGTCTTGTTCGATTTTGACGATTATTTTGATGATGATTTCGATTAGATGAATTTGATTGATGTGGATGATGATGATGATGATGATGACTTTTCAATGGTTTTGTTATCGGTTGCATTATTGGCATTGTTGTTTCAATATTAAATATTGGATTTGATGTTGTTACCGATGTTGTTGTTGATGATGATGATGATGATGATGATTGTTCCGGTAAGGTTTTCTTTCGTGGCTGTGATCGAATAGGCGATGGTCTTCTTGATGTTGTTGTTGGTATCGGTGTTGTACGTGTTGTTGATAGTTGTGGAAAAATTTTATTCATACGTGGTGTTGATGCAGAAATTTTCTGTTCAAATGTTCTGGATCGACTTGCAGTTTTTCTTCTTGTGGCAGACAATGACGATGGCGGCGATAATGATGTTGTTGTTGTTACTATTGTTGTTTTCGGATGTGGTACCAATTCACGTGCTCCATCCAGAAAATTTGGATTATTTTCAATTTCATTTAGTACATGTTTCACAACCGGATGATTGACAACTGGATTACGATTAGATGCATGGCCTTCATATTCTTGACTTTGGCTATCTTCATTTGAATTATCTTCAACTTGATTAAATTTTGTATCAATCTGTTGTTGTTGTTGTTGATGATGATCATTCCAAATGACCGATTCACCGGAACCATAATGTTTTTGATTCGATTTTATTGAATGTATCGATTGTGACATATGGCGTTTATGATGTTCAGCAGCTGTAATGGCTTCATTCACTAATTCTTTGATCGTATTCATCGGTATACCACCGACAAATGTTTCACTAGAATCATCTTCACCGGTTGTTTGTTCAACAATATTTTGTTCATCATCATAACCTTTGTTATCTTCAAATACTGTACTACGTGGATTTTGGAAATTATTCGGTCCGGATATCTGAGCTGACGAACTTCGATAATCGTTTGAACCACTATTTGCATTTGATCCACCACCACCACCACCACCGTAAGTCGCATCATTATTGCCAAAACCACCATCAGATGCTGATCCACCGCTGTAACCGGATGAAGATCCATCTGATGAGAAACCGGATGATCCACTATTAAAGTTAGATTGATGATTATTTCCTCCATAACCCGAGGATCCGCCACCATCATTGAATCCGGAATCAAAACCATCACCGGAATTGTCGCCACCATTATTGTAATCATCATTGAAATCGCTTTGAAAGCCAAGATCAACATCATTTGCTCCATGTCCTAATTGAAAAAACAATTACTATTAGCTAGAATAATCAATCACAATAGATATCATACCATCTTCTCCACCCACAGAACTGCCAGAATTGTAAGCATCACCATTTCCGCCCGTATAACTATTTCCGACTGAAGTAGCATCATCAAAACTGCCGGTATTTCCAGTACTTGAATGTCCACTGCTTCCAGCACTAACAGAATCATAATGGTCCCCATTTCCATTGCCGTTATTTTCAGAGCCATAGTCACCACCGCTTGAGCTTCCTGAATTATAGCCACCACCACCAACAAAATTGTCACCCCCGTCTCCGCCCACATTTCCAGAGCTATAGCCACCACCCGAGTTACCAGAATCGTAACCACCAGAACTACCGCCCACATTTCCAGAGCTATAGCCACCACCCGAGCTACCAGAATCGTAACCACCAGAACTACCGCCCACATTTCCCGAGTTATAGCCACCACCCGAGCTACCAGAATCGTAACCATCGGAATCACCACCGATATTTCCAGAGCTATAACCGCCACCAGTGTTACCGGAATCGTAACCACCAGAATTACCACCCATATTGCCTGAGTTATAGCCACCACCTGAGTTGCCAGCATCATTACCGCCCACATTTCCAGAGCTATAACCGCCACCATTGTTACCAGAATCGTAACCGCCAGAATTTCCGCCCATATTTCCAGAGCTATAACCACCACCAGTGTTACCAGAATCGTAACCACCGGAATTACCGCCCATATTTCCAGAGCTATAACCGCCACCAGAGTTACCAGAATCGTAACCGCCAGAATTTCCGCCCATATTTCCAGAGCTATAACCACCACCCGAGTTACCAGAATCGTAACCACCAGAACTACCGCCCACATTTCCAGAGCTATAGCCACCACCCGAGCTACCAGAATCGTAACCGCCAGAACTACCACCGACATTTCCAGAGCTATAGCCACCACCAGAGTTACCAGAATCGTAACCGCCAGAACTACCACCGACATTTCCAGAGCCATAGCCACCACCAGAGTTACCAGAATCGTAACCGCCAGAATTTCCGACCATATTTCCAGAGCTATAACCACCACCAGTGTTGCCGGAATCATAACCGCCAGAACTACCGCCCACACTTCCAGAGCTATAGCCACCACCCGAGCTACCAGAATCGTAACCGCCAGAATTTCCGCCCATATTTCCAGAGCTATAACCGCCACCAGTGTTACCGGAATTGTAACCACCCCCTCCGTTCATATTTCCAGAATCGTAACCGCTGCCCATATTCCCTGAGCCATAATTTCCACCACCCGAGTTGCCAGAATCGTAACCACCGGCACTAACGCCCATATTTCCCGAGCTATAACCGCCACCAGTGTTACCGGAATTGTAACCACCCCCTCCGTTCATATTCCCGGAATCGTAACCACCGGCATTACCGCCCATATTCCCTGAGCCATAATTTCCACCACCCGAGTTACCGGAATTGTAACCGCTGCCCATATTTCCTGAGTTATAACCGCCTTGCATATTTCCATTGCTATATCCACTGCCACCACCGGAATTATAACCACCACCACCACCGGAATTATAACCACCACCACCACCGGAATTATAACCGCCACCACCACCGGAATTATAACCACCACCACCGCCGGAATTATAACCACCACCACCGCCGCCAGATTTTCCTGCTTTGTAACCACCACTTTTTCCCTTACCACCTCGGCCACCTTTTCCTTTTCCTTTGCCTTTGCCTTTACCTAAATATATGGATAAAATAAAATTAACTCAGAAAATGGATTAATGCAGATGATTAGACATACCACTTGTAGCAACAGCTTTCATCAACAACATGGCCAATGTGTTTTCATCAACATATTTTTTAACTTCACGTTCGGCTTGTTTATCGCCCAGACCAGGCATTACCGACATTTTCATTTTTCCATAGCCTTTCATTTTCGCACATTTAGGCTTACATTTTCCACCGCCACCGCCTTTATTCATTAAACTTCCAAATAAATTTTGAAACATTTGAATTTTACCCATAATACCCTTATCCATCATGGGTAATGAAAACGATGCACTGGTATCTAAATCACTACCACTAGTACTATTTTTTGCTTTTGTTGCTGACATTGGTGCAACGGCATTCGGTTGGATGGCTGTCGATGCAGCAACCGGAACTGGAACTGATTTGATCGATGAAATCGGTTTCGGTTGACCAGGTTGAACAACAGGCATTACATTATTATTATTATTATTCAATGGTACAACAATACCGGATAAATTTGGTACAATTTTTGATGATAAAATATTTTTAGCCTTTGATTGTGGCGAAACAATTGTTGATATTGTAGATATGGTTGTTGATGATAATGATTGCTGTTCATTGGAAGTTGTTGGTGTCGATGCTGATGATGATGATGATGATGATGATGAATGTACATCCATAGATGTTGTTGTTGATGATAATTTCGATGATGCAGCAGTAGCCATCGATTGAGATCTATATTTATCAATATGTATACATACATACATTTATTATTTATTGAACAAAAGGATTTGGAACAACAACAACAAAAAAAAAAAAAATGGAAAAAAAATGTCAATCAATCAGACAATATTACAAATTCGTATGAATGAACAGTTATCTATTCACTATGATCATCATCATCATCATCATCATCATCATCATCAACATCACGATCAATTCAATTTCAAATAAAATTGTTCAATTGTAATATAATGGATCAATGATGAATAATAATAAACGGTAGCTACATCATTCATATACTTATTTTGTCAATTGATAATCTCTATTTCTCTTTCTATCTATCTCAGCTATATATTATTGTCGATGTATATAATGACAATTTGATAATATGAAAAAAATGAAAATGAAAATGAAAATGATAAGAATATATGTCTATATATATAAATAGTTACCATTATGATTATGATCGATTGAACGATCAATAATGATGATGATGATGATGGTGATGGTGATAGATAGATAATTTTGGTGAGAATATAAATGTAATCCGTTATTTTTTTTATATATTCGTTTTATAACGTTTGAAACTATTGTAAAATTGCATTGCATTTGATTCTATTTTTATTATTATGATCATCATCATCATCATCGTTGTCCATTATTTAATCCAATCAGTATATGAAATGTTTATTGGATTATATTGAAGTTGATCGTTTACACGATCAAGATTTTTATCAATCCAACAAGAATCATGTTTTCACTGTTACAATTAATTCATTCAATTTTTTTTTGTTCGTAATATAATGATAAATTAGGTCAAAGGTGAGATAGTGATCTATTATGTGAACAAACATATGCACACATTATTATTATTATTATTATTAAAGCTCTATATATGATAAACCACTGAAAAAAAAATCTTCTTCTCCATGATAATGATTACAGCCAAAGAACCAGATGGATACATCATCATCATGGTGTATAATGTAAAAAAAACAACTACAACAACAACAACAACAATGATGATGATAATAATGGTTCTGGTCAATGGCCATCTTATGATGGCCAAAAAAAAGTGGATAAAAATGAAAATGAAAATGAAAATGTTTTTTAGCTTGATGAACAAAAAAGAAAGAAAGAATAAAATCTCTAATCTCAATAATTGTTGTTGCTCACCAAAAAAAAAACAACAACAACAACAACAACAACAGTAGTAGAAAGATGCTTATATCATCTGTGTGGATAAACATAGTTTGTTTTTTTTTTTTTTTCAGCTAAAGGTTAATTATACACAGGTAAACAAAAACTATCACAGGTGTATTTCCAAGTATGTTGCTTAACCTGTTTAATGTTTTTTTTTTTTTTTTTTTTGAAAATTAAATATTTAATTGTATAAAAAAAAATTTTATCAAACGACAATCATCATCACTAATTATTTATTACAGGACAAATGTTTCATATGTGTCCAGTGTGTGTGTGTGTGTTAGGTTAACAACAACAAGAAAAAAAAAAAAAAATCCACATGACAAACTTACTTCAATTTTGGTATCCTTACACTATCGAATGGTAAAATTTTCGATGGTATCCAACCAGCTTGTGGTGATAATTCCGGTAAAATTGGTTTTTTCTTTACAGATGGTATCGGTGGCAATATTGTCTGTATTGGTAATTTTAATTTCGGCTGTAATGTTGATATTGTCGATATTGATTGTAATGTTTGTTGTTGTTGTTGTTTTAATGATTGATGTGGTTGTTGTAATTTTGACGATTTTGTTGCCATCATACCAGATGATGATGGTATGACCATCGTTCCAATAATATTTTTTGTTGTTACCACATTATTTGGTGATGATGATGATGACAATGGTAATGATGATGATGATGATGATGATGATGATGGCACTAATTGTGGTGAGCGTTGTGATGATAATAATAAATGATTAAAATTTTGATGTTGAGGATTAAAATATTGATGATGATTATAATGATGATGATGATGATGGTGAGGATTATGATATAAACTAGGTGAAAATGGTATTGGAAATACTTGTTGTTGTTGTTGTGTGTGATGGTGGTTGTTGTTGTTGACCAAAAGTCGTTGATATGATTATTGAATATATCGATATAAAAATCGATAGTAACCAATATTTTTGACTAAAATCATAACGATGATGATGAATTATTCGAAAATCTAATAGCCTAATTTGGGCCATATCGAATAATAATAATTTATGAATGATAATGATGATAATATTCGAATGTTCATTCATATATATGAATGTACGTGGTGGTGGTGATGAAATTTACCAAATAAACACAAGAATTTCAAATGTATTTGAATATTTTTTATGAAATCATCATCGAACGGAGAAAAAAAAACCAAAGAAAATTTTCACACACAAAAACACTGACAAAAAACACAACAAAGTTTAGTTATTTAAAAAAACAACAAAAAAATTCACACATATAACATGGTATATATTCCGAATTGGGAAATGAAGTTGAAGAAAAAAAAATTTGTCTAAAAATGTGGACATTATTATCATCATCATCGGCAATGGTTGTTGTTGTTGTTACTGTTGTTTGTTGTTGTTGTGGGAAAAACAACCAAAATTGGAATTGATTATATGACTATTTTAACCATTGTTGTTGTCACATACACTATGTAATAGATGACCATCATTATTGCTGGAAAAAAACATCGAATTTTTTAGAAAAGAACAAACGAATGAATACCGTTATGATAAAAAATAAAAAAAATTTTTTTTTTCATTTTCTGGTGAAAGTGAAATGTGCTCACCATCCACAAAGACGATGTTGTCTTTTTATATATGTATGTATGTTTGTGGACCAACCGATTGAACAAACAAATGGCAAACAAAACAAAAAAAAAACAACTGAAAATTATTATTATAAAGATGATGCGATTTTGAATGTAAAGAGTCAAACAAACATCCCACCACACCAATTTGCCATCACCTGTGTCTTGTGTCTTGTGTGTGTGTGTGTGTGTGTGTGTGTGAAGCATCTTCATATAAGAATTTATATATGAATTGAGAAAAAAAAATGGCAAAATGAAAACCCGAAAAAGAGAAAATCCATGAATGGTTGGAATAACGATTATGATGATGATGATGATTTGTGTGTTCGTCTTCGTCGTTGTAGTAAAATAGAAATAGCCAAGTTATGCAAAAAAAAACAGACAATATGCGAATATATTTTCTCCAAAAAAAAAAAACTGACCGACCGACCGATTGGTCATCATTCAACAACATGGAACAACAACAATGCATTGATTTTTTTTCCACTGGACCATCCTTTTTTTTATTTTCTTTTTTTTTCTTCATTTCAACAGAAATTGTTGAAATCTGAATTTGTTTATTATTATTTTTTTTCTGTTGTTGTTCTTTTTTGCCCAATGGAAAAATAAATCATTAATTAAGAAACAAAACAGAAGATTTTCTTTTCAGTTTTTAAGTTCGCAATACAACAATGATCATTATGGTGGTGAATACACGTAATATTCTCTTTTCTTTTGTTACATCATTATCACCATCAATTCGTTGTTTTTTTGGGTGTCACTTTTCGTTTTCGTTTTCGTTTTTGTTTTGTTTGGGTCCCAATATCAAATTTTTTGTCGTTATAATTAAGATGATGATGATGATGGTGATAATCATTTCCTATAGGAAAAAAAATTCATTTCCTTTCGTTGTATTTTTTTTTTTGTCTTGTCTTGTCTTGTCTTGTTATAAATAAAGATTTAGTAGTAATTTTGCGTGTGTGTGTGTGTGTGTGCAAGTGTCAAGTTTTTTGTTATTGTTGTAAATTTCTAGTTTTTACCGGCAAAATTGTAACAAAGGATGACAACGTGTGTTTTTTTTTCATCTTTTTCTTTGTATTTTGAGCAAAAATTTTCAATTTTCAATTCTATGCATGCATTTCATCATTTTGAAGTGAAAAAAAAATTTTTAAAAAAAATTCAAACATTCGATTCGTTACGTCATATATTTGAGGGGCTTAAAATTTGAATTTTACAAAAAATTTTTCTCCATTCAAATTATCGGATCAATAGTTGTTGATATATGCACGTGTGTGTGTATTTAGAACAACACAAAACAAAACAAAACGAAACGAAACGAAAAAAAAATTTCAGAACCGGAACTATACAACAGTGTGTGAATGTGTTGCACAAATGATTATGTTTGTGTATGTTTTTTTTTCATACATCAATAAATCTATCATGGTTTTTTTTTCACTGTGCGCTGAGAAGAAAAAAAAAATTTAAAAATTTTTATGTCCGAAAAATTTTTTTGCATATCATGATCGAAGATGATAATAAAAACGAATTTGTATTCCTGACAAAAAAAAAAAAGTCGACAACAGGTTGGAGAACAGAACGAAAAAATTTATTATTACGATGATACAATTGAAAATGTCAAACACTTGTTGTTGTTGTTGTTGTTGGATAAATAAAATTTTTTTGCATGATGATGATGATGATGATGATGATATTAAACCATTGGTGTGGAAATATCATCACCGGATATGAATTAATGATTTAGATTAGGAAAAAAAAATTGAATCGAAATAGCCGAATAGAGAATCATCATCATCATCGCTGATTGATTTCATTTGATTGTTCTGGATTGTAAACATTTTTTTTTTTTTTGTTAATTGTTTTTGAATTGAATGCAGTCACACTGTAAAAAAAACTGGTTATTTTTCCATATAGAACGGATTGAGATTGTCATAAAATCAACAAATAAAGTGAAAAAAAATCCTGGTGGTGAATTAAAAAACACTCCCACGCACACACACACACACACACACACACGACCCATAAATATTTAATAATAACATCATCATCATCATGATGAGAAAATTGAAACACGAGAAAAATCTAAATGATGGAACTGCAAAAAAAAAAAAAAATTTTCATGAGAAATATCAAAACCAACTACCACCACCACCATAGAGGTAAAGATCAAAGATGGTATTATGCAAATCACGATCATGGAGACACACAGACCAGGGAGAGAGAATTTTTTTTTGTAAATAAAAAATCAAAAAAAAAATTCACTCACACCGGGTGATCATCAACAACAACAACGAAAAAAAAAATGTTTCTGAAAATATTTTTCCAAAGAAAATAAAAATTGAATGAAAGATTTTCATTTGGCATCTTTGATCTTCATTGATGATGATTATGTTTACGTCTCCATGACCACCGTTGAAATGTGTTCAACAAAAATCAACAGGTTGTTCATTTTTTCTTCAACAGGTTGTTGTTGTTGTTGTTGTTGTTGTTGTGGTTGTTGCTGTTGTGTTGTCAGATTTAATTCAAGATATGGATCATGATGATATCATCATTTGCATATTTTTTTATATATATGGGTTTTGAGAATTTTTTTTTTTTTTTTTTTTTGAAATGGTTAAAATGGTTGCATGCTTAATGATTGATTGTTATAAATGTTATGATGATGATGATGTTGGTGATGTAGTTTTTCTTTAGATTATTACGTGTGAATGGTGGATAGAAAAAAAAGTGGAGAAAAAAATATTTTCATCATGATGACCACTGTCTGTCTACCTGGTGAATATACATCATCATCATGATCATGTTTTTTTATTTATTATTATTATAACCAGTGGTTAATAATAAATTGGCTATTGATATTTTGTGGTGGTCAAAAATAAAAAAATTAATTTAATTTAATTTAATTTTCTAGCAAAAAAAAAACCCACATTCAAATTAATTTTAAATTGTAAATTTCGGTTCCTTCTCGAAACAAAAATAAAACAGCAAAAAACGTGAATTGGAATGATGATGATTGATGTATTAATTTGAATATATTAAAAAAAAAATCTATGCTAATCGTAGCTGTCAACAACAACAACAACAACAACGACAACAACAACAACAACAACAACAACAACAATCAAATTCTTAATCATTTTTTTCCACTTCAAATACTGGATTAATTAACGAACATTTTATTTTCTGGATTTGATAGAAAATCAATCAATCAATCAATTGACCAATCAATTGGGTGATGAAAATGAACATCAACAGGCCATTTAAAATGATCTATTAACGAATTATTACGTTTGTTTTTCTGTTTTTCTGTTTTTTTTGGTCAGAAAAAAAATTGGAAATTTTTTCAACCGTAACGTAAATATATGGAGACTGTGTGTGTGTGTGTTTGTAATCAGCCAACCGGTCAAGCTAATCACATCAGAACAACAACAAAAAAAATGTTCACAAATATCGTTATAAGTGATTATTAGTTGACCACAACCACCACCACCATCATATTATATCGTTAGCAATGGTGAATAAATCTATAGTTATATTTGAATGAACAAAAAAATTTTTTTTGAAAAAGACAGAAATAGCAAAAAAAAATTGGCATAAATCCGGAAGTGATTGATTAAATTAAATATAGTACCACCACAAAAGAATTTTGATCGATTTGATTATTATGATGATGATGATGATGATGATCACCATCGTGGTAGTAGTAGTGGTGGTTTTGGTGATGGTTATTGTTATCATCATCCTCGAACTCGAACTCGAAACTCAAACAACAACAACAATCATAACGAGCTTCATTCATGTTCATTCATTCATTCATTCAATGGATGGTTTGATGGCGCATCCATCTTCATCCATTAGATCGAATCGATTTTTTGTATCGATACTATCCTTCAAATAATCGATTGTTGTTGTTGTTGTTTCTTTCATTCAAACACATGAATTGATTGGATACACACACATACACACACACACAGACCATCGATTGAATCTCAAGCAATCAATCGATTTA